TTTACTAATTAAAAGCTTAATAAAATTTTCCTGAAAGAATTGATGTTAAAAATGTCCTCGGGACATCGCTAAATTTACCTGTGTCTGTATCTCTTTTTTCTGATGACAGTGGCTGGCAAACTGTAAGGCAACATTTGCAGGAGGATCAAGAGATGGAGTAATTACCTGCCAACCAGGGGACTCAGAAGAAAAGGTAACAAAAGCCTGTTAGAATGTATCCCTTCTGTGCTGTGACAGTGTGTGCTGGTTTTGATCCACCCAAGAAGCGTGGAACTTGAGAAAGGAAGAGGTGGAATGGGTCATCCCATACATTCACACGAAACCAAGAAAGTAAGACAGAATGACATTCAAGCCATGCATGACTGTGTGTTGATGGGATTTGGGATGTTTCTTTTTGGAAAAGTAGGGGTATAAAAATAACCTTTCTGCTGGACACTATCTATACTAATCATCTCCTAATAAATCTGTTCTTAATTCAGAATATAAAACCAAATTTCATTCATTCTTCACTGAACCACTTAGTTCCTTCAATGAGGGAAGTTTCTGTTGAACTTTCAGCAATCACTAAAACCGATTTTCTCATTTATAATTGCTTTAAGTACACACCTCAGATCAGCTAGCTGGTAAACGTATGCCATATTGTGAAGGAACTTGGGCAGGAGAGTATGAATGGATTAAAACCATTCATTCTGCAGTTAGGTTTTGAGTGCCATCTGTATGGACCACATGGTGGAATACAATAGTAAACAACAGACAAGGCTTCTGCCCTTCTGGGAAACAGAATCAGACAGGTGTAAACTGTGATAAATGCCACTGAGGACAGGAAAGAACAGTAAGCTATGCAAGCATATGGCAAGATCAAATGGGAGGGTAGGTCTGGAAAAGCTTCTCTGTGGAGGTGTCATGTAGACAGAGAGCTAAACATGAGCTAGAGTTATTCCAGTAAGGAGGGGTGAGTGGAGAGCCTGTGTAAAGGCCCCAAGGCAGGAGGGCACCTGGTCTGCAGCCTGCATGGCTGGGAGTGCAGAAAGGGACATGGAGAAAAGTTTGAGAAGAGTCTGGAGAAACTGGCAGAAGCCAGACCATGCAGGGTCTTTAACAGCCATGGTAAGCAATTGAAAAGTGTTAACTTTAACCCTCTCCCATTCTATGTACTGTGGAAACAGACTGAAGTGGGCAAGAGTGAACAGGGAAGGTAAGATAGGAGGCTGCTGCCCAGTCTAGGCAGAGATGGTGTTTCCTTGGAATTATATCATCACAACTGGAAAAGCATTTTAGATTGTGTACTCTCCAGAAGATCCAAAATCATCTTCCTGTATGAGAAACAGTACTTTAGTAACATCGAAAGAACCAAGTAAAGTTTGGGGTAACATTTTTCAACCAAATACTAAGGGTTCAATTCCAATTTGGTAATTGTAATTGAACAAGTTTGCAGTCCTGAAATTAACTGTCCATGCCAGCACTGAGTCACATGGTGAGCCCCCTGATAAGTTTTACTGAAGAGACCAGAGACTGAACAAGCAGACTACAGAGCTGAGAAATATCTAGATGGGTACTGAAGTGTAGTTTGCATTTCCACATTACTGCCTTCTTGTCTCAAAGACCTAAATATGTGTTTCACTTTATGGTTTACTGAGAACTTTCTTGTCCATTAAGTCATTTGATCCTCTCTGGATTGGAAGGTAGCATTTGGCCATTCTACAGTTGGAAGACACCAAAGCATGACTTATCCAAGGCTCCATGGCTGATCAGTGACAGGCAGAATGACTGCTTGGCTGCAAAGTCTGGAAACATCATAGGCAAATATACATAATAGTTTATATTTTTTAAATAGGCATTTAATGACATTACATGATTTGTCTCTCATAAGCAATGCATAGTTGAATGTGCAATTCAAAATTTCCAGCATTTCGATAAATCCCTGCATACACATCTGTGCTGCCTCAGGTGATTTGTGACTCTGACTTTTACTGAATAACCTGCCATTAGCATACCCCAGAAGGAATACATTTTTAAAAAATAAAATATTACCCAGATTTCAGATTTTTATGGCTACCCAGTAGCACCCATCCCTACTGATTCCAGCCCCATCAACAGTTATCAGGTTAGGATTTACGAACAGCACAAATCTAGTCCACTTCCTAGTATAGTGTTTCAGATTTTTATGGCTACTCAGTAGCACCCATCCCTACTGATTCCAGCCCCATCAACAGTTATCAGGTTAGGATTTATGAACAGCACAAATCTAGTCCACTTCCTAGTATAGTTGTACAGTAGTATATAAAAATAATTAGATTTCAGATTTTTATGGCTACCCAGTAGCACCCATCCCTACTGATTCCAGCCCCATCAACAGTTATCAGGTTAGGATTTACGAACAGCACAAATCTAGTCCACTTCCTAGTATAGTTGTACAGTAGTATATAAAAATAATTAGTTATCTGAACATTTACCCTCAATCATCAAATTCTATTATATTCTGAATAATAAAACGTCAATCAGGAAAGTGCTTTAACACATGGCAGATTTTTCGGAACAAGGCTTAAGCCAAATCTATTATTTAATTGTTCATTTGTTTATAGCTTCCTGGTTAACCTTAAGGATAACCAGAAATCCAGGTTAAATTGTCCTATTTCCTAAACATTCCAATTTTAAAACATGTGCTTCTGTAGTGTTCATAGCTTATTTCTGTTAAGTAGTGTTACTTTGCTTAGTTGCTTTTTTCCTGGTTCGTCTCCATTTCCATCCAATGACGATTTCTCATTTTTCTTATTCTTCTCATTCACTTCCTCCTCATCCATCTCTTTCTTTGCTCCTATTTAGTAGTACTTGTTCCTCCTCATCTCTACTAAACCCAAGGATTAAGAAAGAGTCCATATATTTGTTCATTTATTTCTATGTGGCAACTCCATTCGCATTACCATAAAGGTTGTGAATACAGCAGTGGAAAGCAGCAGCTAATGTTTTTCAAGTATTGTACATGTATGAGAGGGGTCTTCAAAAAGTTCAGAGAATTACAGCAGTGGAAAGCAGCTAATGTTTTTCAAGTATTGTACATGTATGAGAGGGGTCTTCAAAAAGTTCAGAGAAAGATTCATATTATCTTTTAATTCCATTTTGATCTCATTTGGTCCTTTATGCTAATCTTTTGAAATAAGGGTTTTTCACTTTGCAGATAAGAAAACAAAGTGAAAGGCAAACTCTAAAGGCCATGTTCTGTCCATTTGTCCCTACTTTCTCTGAATTAGTTTTGGAGGCAAAGTATACACATAGGAAAGAGCTACAGAATAATTCCCAGCATACCTCTAAAGGTCTATTATGGTTTTAGGAATCTGCATAAATAATGAGGATGCATAAAACAATGAGTGGGATTTGTTAGAAAAAGATTAAAGGAAGGGCAAGTTCTGACTCTGATGTTTCCATTTTTGCAAAATTAACCAGGCCTTGGCCCCATTACCGGTATCAGCTCAGTGTTTCAAACTTTTCCCAGGTGGCTCATGTACACATTGGTGCCCAGAGAACTCAGACAATGACCAAATGTCCTGAGGAAGATGCCTTCAGTCCGAAGTATGTGACAATTCTGGGGTTTGAGGCTGGTCTGAAAGGCAAATTATTTGTCACCTGAAGTTGGCAGTCCTCTTAAGTCAGGCAAGGCTGGGTGAGTTGTTCGAATCATCTAGATACTCGGTTAAATTCTCTGTTTTGTTAGTGGACCCTGGAAGCAGTCGGGGCACTGGGCATGCAGCTCGAACCACACACTCTCCAATTCCACCAGCCTTGACTGAGCCACCACTGAGCTTGAAGGATGTCTAGGCACCAAGGGGAGTACAAACCACAGGAAGCTGTGGTTCCCATCACAGGTAATCTGTGACAAACTCCAGTTTGTCTCCAGAGCAAACTGGAGGAAAATCTTTACACACTGAAGGCGGGCCTTCAGGAGAAACAGTGGTGTCACTCCATGTAAGTAGCAAGATCTTATATCCAGAGTTGGTGGAGATATCTTGCTGATTAGAGCTACCATTTGGATTCCATCCCAAAGCAAAACCCAACAACCATTTGGCCTCAGAGCACTGCTTACCTTCAAGTGATTCTCTCCAACTTCCTTTTTCAGTAGGTTCTCTGTACTTCGGGGATAATTTGATGTTGCCAATTATTCTGAGCACCCTTTACATGGAGATAGATAGGATGGGGATAAGTGAACTTATAACTTGAAGAATCTCTTACTGGATGTAAATTGCAAAGTGAACATACCAATAATTACTACACATGTGTATTCTATTTCAGAGAAGTGTGCATTTTGTAAAAGGATTAGTATTTACTTAACTAAACCTAGCAAAGGAAATTTTTGAACAGTCAGAGATATCAGCCTGTCAGAGAAGGTAACAGTATACAGACAGGCATGTGAAATCATCCCACCTCCCAGCCCTACCCTGGTCTTTGCCAGTAGCTGATCTTCAGTCATTCTTAACAAATGACATAGTGAGGATTGCCATGGGATTGTTTGTGGAAGAGAATACAACTCTTTGCTGGGTGTTTAATATTTATTTTCCAATTTTCCTCTGTACCCAACATGAAGTTGTAGACATCAAAATAATGAAGAAATGTTATATACTGGTGGCCTGTGAGCTGTAACCAATTCACAGACAGACATATTTTATTAAGCTGGCATGGTTTTTTAAGTTTGCAAAATGGTTTTAATTGGCCCTGTATATAAAAATTAAAAATTTTGGGCCGGCCCGGTGGCACACTGGATAGTGCGCCACTTGGGAAGCGCAGCGGCGCTCCCACCCGAGGGTTCGGATCCCACATACAGACCAGTTCCCGCTCACTGGCTGAGCGAGGCACGGGAGCAACACCGAGGGTTGCGATCCCGTTGCCAGTCCCGGTCCGGTACGGGGGCGACACTGAGGGTTGCGATCCGTTGCTGGACACGGAAAAAGACAAAAAAAAAAAAATTAAAAATTTTTATTCACATTTTTCTGATGTCTCTAAGACCTAGCAACACTGGGCCTGCCTTCCTAAGTGGCAATAATGAGCGAGAGCTAAATACTGGCATATGGACTCTCCCCTGTCTCCACTGCCCATTGAGTTGATAACACTGAAGGCAACAGCTGGGTGTCAATCATCCTTGGACTGTTGGACTGTTGTTTTCATTGTGATAGAAAAATATTTCTCTGTACCTAAGTTCCCAAAATGGGGAATGAAAGCTAGATAGAGAGGATTGCATGTTTCCCAAAAATGCAGGAGAGTATTATGCTTTGCATATGTGAGAAACATCTCTGTGTACATAATATGCAAACCACCTGCCTGCTGAACTCACTTACAGAGGGGTATGTTGGAGGAGTATCCACAGTGCATGTTCAAAACAACAAAACAAACCATGTTTCTAAGAAAAGTGTTTCTAATACCGGGAAGTATAATTGGGGGAAAGCTTTTATAAAAAGACAGACATGATTAGTAAAAGATTAGGCTTGTTGGTGATTATAATACCAATTCTTCTGGAATAAGGCACAGTATAGACTAAATAGGATGTAAAACAAGGAGCGTGTTTGGCATGCATCTCATGAGATTAGTTTCAATCATTTGTAGACACTGCTTTACCAGCGTTTTCTCAGCCTGCGTGTATCAAAAGGAGAGACAAATGACTTCATGCCTTAAAATCAGCACTTCTAATTAAGGATCTTGGTTTCCATTGACCTATCCATCTCTTGTGGAATTCATTATGGATTGGCAACTAGAAGGTGGTTTGGGTTAACATAAACATAGGTCGGGAAGCAAAGTCTCTAGACATCTCAGCTCTGGGTTCTGTCTTGGCCCCACAACTAATTAACACAGCTCAGCTCCCCAGTTCTGCAGAGTTGGCCCTGGGAAAGCTGGAGATGTTTCCACTTATTTTTCATAAGTGATTTTAGTTGATGCATTCAATATATATGTCTGAGCATTAGAACATTTGACTCTTTGGACTCAAGTACAGTAATTTACTTGTAGCCCTACTACATTTCATCCTATTATATTCAAATCATCATTCCAACTACTACGGTCTTTTTGGACACTAACCCTCTCAGTTCTGCATTTCCTATCCCTACATAATCCATGAATGAGAAGCCTGCAAGCTCTGTTCTTATACAAGTTGAATGACAAGTTAAATGTTGAACAAGACAAGACTTTTCCCCAGTTAAGTTGAAATCCATTAAACATCGTCCTTCGGACACAGTAAATCAGTCTTTCTTCTATAAGCAGTCCTCTTTCCAATATTGACTACAGAAATGTCTGATGAAATTAGTTTACGGTTTTCTTGAAAACAGTAAATACCTCAGGGTATGTACTCTGTATCATAGGCTTAAAGGTATTTACCTTTCAAACTTTGAAAGACTTTCATGAACGAGGATCAAAAAACTACTCACCAAACCTAATACAGTAGTCACAATGTGCCAGACCCAAGCAGTGAAGCAGTGTTAACAACAGGTGAGTACAGATTGTTCCTACCTACTTAGGAGATTAGATGTATCTATGTATTATTGAGTAGCAAAGTCCTATTAGGCTAGGTTATCAAAATTTTATCCCACTTAGTTTAAACTCATGACTTTCAGAGATTAAATATGATGAAAATAATAGCTAATATAGTACACTGTGGTTCATCTTCTGTCATGTCAAAAGTATCCTAGATTTAGTAACTGGTTATGTCATAAGCATAGAACCCATCTGAGAGCAGAATCCAGAGAAAACAGATACGGCTGTGCTACTGTTAATCAGCAAGAGTTAGATTATTCTGGGCTTTTTAAGTTGCATGTTCCTCAGTTGTTTATGATCAGTTTTTAACATCTTGGCTTCTTTATGTTTTTTTCCTCATTTTGAGAAAACATACCTCTAACTGCAATTTATAAATCAAGCCATATCAGGAGAGCAAGAATAGGGCTTGAAGAAAATCCCTGTGACCTAATAAAACAATGACATTCCTACATGTTTCAACAGAACCTTAAGTCATCGAAACATAAATAAGTTTATAAAGACTTCTCAAGGGATTATTTTTAAAACCTGGATACAGGGGGAAGAAAAGTTTTAACATTTTCCATAAAATGGCCCCCTAGAAATACATTATTAACTATCTTTTTGGAACTCCAAATGCAAATCTGGTCCCAGTCTGTGGGATAGGAAAGGATTTTTAGATAATAAATATCAAGGGAGCTTGAAGTAGCCTACCTAAAAAGGAGAGTTTAGGAAGGATACTGAGAGCTGGTGTTCATCAGCGTTGGCCATCTCCCAGGAAACACACTGTTTTGTGCCCTGAGAGCTGAGTGGGAGGAATCCATTGACAGTGAAATTCTTTGGCACCAGGCTGGAGTTTAAAAGTTTTATTTGTCTTTATTGAAAAGAGATTTTATTTTGACTGATTTGATGACCTCCTTGGATTACAACCTTGTTTTGGAAAACAGTAAAAAGATAGCAGTTGTCTTCACATAAGCCCATGTAATCCACTCAGCACTTGTTTCATTCCAAGCTCCTGAAAAGTTAATTCCATGGTAGAAGCAGTCACTTGCTAAAGTGCTTACTAAACTTTTCAGTCACATTTGATATTTTCCAAAAAGTCTTCACAGTGGAAATTCTGTGTGTATATAGACTTAAGACTGGCCCTGTATGCCTTTCTTATGTGACACTATATTTCAGTACACAAGGTTTGGTTATAGAAACCTCTAGACATAAAGTTTTCTTGAAAATAATAAGTACTTCGAGCTGTGTAATCTACATCACAGGCTGAAAGGTGTTTATATTTCAAAGCTTTTAAAGATATTCATGGCCAGGGTCCAAAAACTACCAATAAACATCCTACAGTAGTCATCACTGTGCCAGCCTCACGAGATATTAGCAACAGGTGAGGGAAGAAGATACCCTTGGAAGATGGGGGCTTTTAGTGGCAATCCTTTAATTATGTTTGTAGATACTGATAAATAATAATGTATAGTTTTATTTGTTCTCTTGCACTGTACCTTATGTTAATGTACAATACATCAAACTAATAACCCAGAGAATTTTTTAAAAGAGCTTTAAAATAAGGAGTTTTTACTATCAAGGACTAGAAACTGAGCTAGATAGTCCGTGATAGTTTGAAAATTCAGAACCAAATATATTGACTCATAATCAGGAATAGTCAAATTGATTTTTTAAAAAATACTCTGTCACGTTGTGGTTATCTCTTCCCATATGCCCAAACTTTCCTTAAACCAATTCTATGATTATGATATGGTGATGCCAATCGATGGTAGCTATAGTTGAATATGGCCCAGCTACAAATTTATTTTAGACTAACCATCAGTTCTAAATTGCTTTTGGAAATCGTCTACCAGAGAAAAAATTATTATAAAATGCAAGAAAATTACTTGTTACACTTGTTTGAAAGTATACAATGTTCAGTTCTTTGAAATTAAAACATCTAGTAGTTTTATAAAATATTTTCAATTTGGAAGGTAATCTGACCCTAAAGAAAATGCCACTTAGGTATGTTTTAGAGTATACAATGTTCAGTTCTTTGAAATTAAAACATCTAGCAGTTTTATAAAATATTTTCAATTTGGAAGGTAATCTGACCCTAAAGAAAATGCCACTTAGGTTAATTATATTCAGTGTTAATTTGGAATGATCATAGTTTAATAGATATGAAACCAAAAATGTTAAAGACTCTGCCTCAACTAATATTGAGCAATAGTATAATTTATTTGGGGCTATAGTTTTTCAAATTACTCAGCTGGCTTCCTCACAGTTTTACTATGTTCACATATTATTCACATTTATACACTAAAATCTTCAAGCAATAAAAGTTTGGACATCTGGTCTCCAAGACTGACTGAAAAAAATCTAAACCAACTAATCAGAGAACCTAAAAGATTAAAAATTATGTTTTTTCAATGATATGTTTCCCGTTAGAGCTTGTTTTTAACTTGAACGCTGTGCATGTTGAATGGGTACAACATTTGCAACCATTTATCAAGTTCGGGCAAGCGATGCTAATACTGCTGACGGTTCTGCTCTTGGAAGAGGGCCGCGCTTTCTGTTGCATGCGAACACTGACCCTGTCCTTTCTTTCCTTTCCTTTGTTTCCTGTGCCATGCTTGCTGTGTAGCAAATGGAATCTCTTGCAGTAAGTTAACTTTCTTTCATACTCTTTGTCCATTTAGGCATGGACCCATTACAAACCTTATTTTCACTGTTACTATTACATCTCTTAGCATGTTTTCCCTTTTTCATTTAATTTTATTTGGTAGATTGAGACATGGCACTTTATTAGTAGCCTTCTGGGCTGCTTTAGCCCCACAGTAGAAACCTATGTTGCTATGAATTCTCTTACAATAAGTGGAATATTTTGAGTAATAACTACCATTATTTGGCACTTAGGAAAGTGAGAGCTTTCATAGCTAGGTTTAACCCTAAATTGTGAAGGTAACATTGTTTTTAAACATACTGGCAGTTGTCTTTTATACCATATTTTAAAAGTTTCCCATAAATAAAAGTTTAAATGATAAAAAAAAATGTTTTACTGAAACAACCAAACATCCAGTTTGAGTTAGTGAGTACGGCTACTTCTTTGAACTTAAGCTGTTTACCAATATTGAGAGATCAAGTAACTCTAAGCAGAATTGTTTTGCCCCTAAGAGCAAGAAAGGGGTGGGAGGAGAAAGGAAACTTCATTTAGCATAGTCTTAACACCAATTTTAATAAAAAAGAAATTCTGTTTTTAAAAACCACTTGCAGCTTATAATAAAGACAACCATTCAGCTATAATTTGTAGGTATTTAATTGGCAAATACATATATGATGGAATTTGGCAGTTCACTCAGTCTCCTTATGGCTGCACTCCTCTCTAGTCACCTTCCATTATATAGAACACAATATGCTATATTATGCTATGAATTTCTCACTGGTATTTATTGGTTGGATTTTGGTTTTTATTTTATTTGGAATAACAGCTAGTTATGTTTCCTTGACTTTAAAAAAATGTTTGTCTCCACTGAGATTTCACTAGTTATACAAGAATGAACCTTAATAACTTTCTGGATTTTGGTTTTTATTTTATTTGGAATAACAGCTAGTTATGTTTCCTTGACTTTAAAAAAAAATGTTTGTCTCCACTGAGATTTCACTAGTTATACAAGAATGAACCTTAATAACTTTCTTCCCGTGCAAATTCTCTCTTTAGCAATTGGAACTGTGTCAGAGATTATATAAGCTACACTTCCAGCTGCTATTGCTTTTTCAGTCCTACTGTAAGCTCATCGGCCAGGTGCATGAAGTTAGCTCCATGCCAGAGGTGAGTCGCTGCGCTTCCCAGCCCCACATCCCGCGACCCAAATCATTACTTCTCTTATGTTCTTCCCCCGTCCTACCTCGTTTATAACTGTCCAAGTGACTGTATTCCCCCATCATTATTTTGCTCAAGCATAAGTCTGAAATAAATATATTTATTTCTGTTCTCCTTTTTAAAAGGTTTTCCAGATCAGGGCCAGGACGAGGTGAGGCAAGTGGGGAGCAAGCACCTCCATACGTGTTAGTTACACCCTAGACGTCCCACTCACTCGAATCACCCTGGTCTTGGTCCTGGCCCTGGCTCTGGGCATCCTTATTTGAAAAAACTCCTTGTGTTGTGGTTTTTCTTCTTTACATTCAGCTTTTCATACTTGCCCTTACGTTGAGGTAAGAAGGAAATGTTTATATGATGTGCTTGGTTCTCTTCAGTTTCCCTGCCCTGCTTAGTACCAAGATGCTTTAATATTTTAAAATGTAAAAAGTAAAATAACTTAAACATACTACTTCCAAGTGAGGCAAAATGTTCCTACAAGTGAATAAATACTATGAGATGTCATAGGCGAAATAATGGTGATGTGCACTGGATATTAAGGAATCCTAGAAGATGAATGCCTCATTCTCCTGGAGGAGGAAAGGTTGGCACAGGAAAGCTTTCTGGAGGAAATCACACCTGAGTGGAATCTTAAAGGATGAGCTGGAACTAGGGAGATGAAGTGGGAGCTACAGAGCAGCATTCCAGTAAAAACAAACTGCATGGCACAAACATGGTGGTGAGAAAGAACTACAAGAAATTTAGTATCACTAGAATATAAAATGCACACCAAAAAGGAATGATGAAATAGGCAGAAGAGAGAGGTAAGAATCATGGAAGAGGCTGCCCTTGGGGTAGATAGTAAGGTCTTTATGGCCATTTGGAGGGTAGATTGGATGACAATAGACTGGAGATGCGGAGACTGGTTCCAGAGCTACTGAACTATTAGGGTTCAGCAACAGTTCGTGGAAAAATACAAGTAAAAGATAATACAATCCTTCCATGAACTGTTTGAAGTAACCTTGTAGTTCAGACAGAAGAGAGTCTGAATGAGGACAAAGGTGCTAGATATAGAGTGAAAGAAGGCAAAAAAATCAATGAAACTGATGGGGGTGGGAAAGAGTTAACACTCAGGTCCCATATCAGATGAACCCGTGGTGCCACGGCTGAGAAAGTATATAAAGGAAGGACTGAAACAACTGTACATCCAGGCGGCCAAGCCTTCAGCCAGCTAGTCAATGGCTGAGTCTGCCTCTTGGACCAGGACCAGGTTTAACGACCACTGGCATCTTGCAGGTGGTTAGACATGAGGAACTGAGGTCAGAGAGACATCTGAACTACAGGTGCAGATGTGGTGGTCGTCAAAGTGAACAGGCAGGAATCGATGAAACCAACCCACCAAGAGCAGCAGGATAAGCATGGAGCCTGGGAAATCTGACTGTCTAAGGAGGGCGAAGAGGAGGGGGAGCCACAGAAGAGATGGAGAATAATAACCATTTTGCCATCTCTATTATTCAGATTGAAAAAAAGAAAAAGAAAACTATATAATTTAAATATTCTTTCAAATGCCAATTTCTTATTTTTTGGTGGCTGACCAGTATGGGGATCCGAACCCATGACCTTGGTGTTATAAGGCTGCACTCTAATCAATTGAGCTAACCAGCCAGCCCCTCAGATGCCAATTTCAAGGGAGATTTGAATCAGACCTCTTTGTTTATGAGGAGCTCTTCACAAACCAGTTTTCTTCCATAGAATTATAAGTTATCAGATGAAAGAGAAAACACTTGTTACCTGTTATTTGCCATGTGGTCATGGTAAAATGTACTCTTCTTACTTTTCTAAGCAAGTAAGTATTTACAGGATCCTCAGAGTCCATTCTTGCTCAAGAAATAGAGGACAACTCATGTGCCATTTTCCAGATTCAAAAAGCAGCTGGAGTTTCACTTTAGAGTAATAAATTATGCATTACATACCATGTGTGTATGTGTGTGCATATGTGTATGTATTATATATAATTATTTTAAATCTAGTGATTTAAAGTGAATTTCTCAATTATTTTAAATTTAGGCAAGTTTTAAATACTGTATCTATATGGACACAGTATTTAAATACTATGTATGTTTTAAATCGTGTGTATGTATGTGTGTGTGTGTGTATATATATATATATTCACACAATATTTTAAACTTACCTAAGCTTAAAATAATTGAGAAATTTGTATGTTTTAAATCGTGTGTATGTATGTGTGTGTGTGTGTATATATATATATATATTCACACAATATTTTAAACTTACCTAAGCTTAAAATAATTGAGAAATTCATCTTCAAACTTAAAATCATATACAAAGTTAAGATACTCTAATATCTTATTTTAAAAGATTACGTTAGTAAATTTTAAACCTAGGTCTAGAGTAGACACTTGCAGTGAACAGCCATCTGGGTGAAGAAAAATAGTCCTTCAGGGCTTCAGTTTTATAGTTTGTACAATATGTGAGCTGGAAATGAAGAGGAAAGGTGAAAATGTTGGATAAATAACTTTC